CTGTATTTGCTCTATTATTTGCACATACATGTACGCTTACGGAGCGTAATAATGGGATACCTATGGTAAAAATATTTTTCATTAATAAACCTGGATACATTAAATGCAATTTTTGTTTTACCAGTGCTTCTATTGGAGACGCACTTCTAACACAGTATTATAGTTCATTATATTCAAGGATATGTAAGATAAGGGTAAGCAACTTTTTTTTTTTTTTTTGTGCCTGGCGACAGTTCTGGACATTGAATGTCACTGTTGTCTCTCCTGAATTTTGTTTGTATGTGCAAGTTGCAAGTGCTGACATATAGTGCATTTTTGCCACAGAAGTCATATTCATGTTTTGGGACTACACACATGACAGGGCTGTGCGACCATTTCTCTATCAAATGGCAATTTAATGCGCTATCTTGGCATCAACCAGGCTCGGTCGAACACAAGCACCTGCGGACATTAACCATGATTACCCCAAAAGTCGCATTCTTTAGTGAATGAATCTTGGCCAGTGGAATTGGCCTTCCCATTGAGTCTGTGGCACACTCTCCCAGGGTAGGGGTCGACCATTTTTGGTGTTCAGCTTAAGGTAGGATTTGAACTTGGGTAAGCAACTTAGATAACTATTTGTACGGGATGAATAATGCATTGCATGTCAGTTCCATACATGCATCAAAGCAAAATACACTAACCCAATTGCCCTGGACACTTTAAAAGGTTTGATAACATAAACAGAAATGAGTATAATTATCACTATACCCAGAACTCAGAACTATTGATGAAAACGCCAGTGCAAGAAACCTACATGTATTTGATGAATAAATTTCAATTATTTCACATTTCGACAGTAAAACATTATTCACTTTGGGAAACCATGAGCTTACATTGTACATGTATTGTGTTTGAATACGTTGTGATGTCTGCAATGTTCCTACACCTGCTATACTCTAATGAAACTAGAAAAATAAATAATTTGAAAGACAGTTTAATTCAAAAAACATCTCTATAGCATCAAAATGACTGTAAATACTTGTTGTTAATTACAAATGTTTTATTTTGTTGTTATTTTGTAATTAACTGGTACGGGGGGGGGGGGTTAATATATATATATATTTAGCTTGTCAAATAAAATTTTCTACTTGTCATGTGACAGGCAGACATGCATTCATAGTACTGTATGTCCTAACAAGTATGCCTTTCATTTTGTACAAGGTGTATCACAGTTTTGACAAAGGATGTATAAATGTAGTGCAAGATTCTGCCTCAATTACGAGTAAATAACAAAACTCCATCAAATTGGTACCGTAGTGTAATTTTATTTTTATATTGAATTAGATTACTAAATTGACAAAATCCCCAAATAACTTTTATGTTTCTTGATTTTAATTAATATGGTTGGAGAATATGCACAAATACAATGTACAAAGATCTGTCGTGATATGCACACAAATATTGGATCACGTTACCAATGCTACACTATACATTGTCACTTTCACAATACTTATCGGAAAAAGTCAACGGTTTATTTACCCGCTACAAGCATTGGTACAATAGATCTCACAGAAAGATCTCGTTTGCATTAGTATTTCTAGAAATTTACATTATTTTGCAATTTTGAGATTATCAAACAATTTGTGTGATTTCAAGTTGAGATTTTACCAGTTGAAACTCTTATAGGCCGTCCTATTTGTTTACATATGTATGCGCAGTGACTGGCACCTGAGGATACAACGTTGTGCACTATGGTTGTTATAAAATATACATGCACGTGTTGCTGTGGTAAAACAATTATAGACAATGTTGTCACAACCGATCAAGAGCTGGTTGCAAAAATGTAAACATATGACGTCACAGTTCATCTCACTACAACAATGTTGTCAATTTCAACATTAAACTAAGCTATGCTGTTTAAAAGATACCAAATTGGTAATTTCCAATACCCCTAGAGATATGGCCACATTTCACTGACCATACTTCCTTTGACATGTACTAGTAATAGTATTTTCAAACCACTGGGCTGTAAAAACTATCATTACCATTTCAACCGACAAGGCAGGAACCTTGTGCGATAAACTTTTACTTTCGGCTCACTAATTAAATCATTTCCGAAGAATGCCGAAGCGAAGTTCAAACAGAGTCGGCGAAAATTTGTTTTGGCTTGCTAGATTGCACATTTTTGATCAATCAAATGTATTTTGATTATATTATATTATATGGAAGCTCTATTAGAAGCACATCATCAATTGAAACGCATCAATTGAAACGTAAACCAACAGTTGTATTTACTACAAAAAATGTGTTACTAATATTTAAAGCATATATGGCATATTGTTCTCAAAACCAGATACTAGTAATTTATGTTTCCCTTACTCTGATAATCGCATCAAATGAAAACAGTTTACCATCAATTAACAAGTCATGCCAAGAATGCCAACTAGGAACATGAATTTCAAACATTTCCAACGTTTTCTTTGAGGATGTGATAACTTTGTATCTATATTTAGTATGCTAGATGTTCTTTTGTTAGTGGTCACATGACCACTTTTGAGTTTTGTAATGGCGGCAAAGCTTTTAAGTTGTAGTTTGCAGTTCCACAAATAAACTTTTAACGTGTTAATTGCTGTTTTTCTGTGTGGGTCATTACGGTAGTGGTTAGACGAACACTCGGTTACCACAGAGAAGCAAGTGACTAATAGTTAAACACACACCTAAAGTATGTAACCCACACCCAAGGTATGTAACCCACACCCAAGGTATGTACCCCACCTCCCACTCAAACATTAACAGAAGGACATACATACATACATGCATATGGGATGGTATAGTAGCAGCAATGTCAGGGCTGCAAATTTCTGACTTCATAGATAATTAATATGTATATTGATTCGTTATAAATCATATCAGGTACATGCAAGTTTGTGACATCATAATTACACCAAATAAAACAAATTTTGTGTTTCTACTATCCCTACCTACATGTACCAATATTTTGAGAGATATCTAAAAGTTAATTTTATGTGACATAAAATTATTTATGGCTATGTAAATTAGCTACGATCATTCTATACTAATGTTTTTTATTTCATTTACTTCCATGTAGTGAATGAATTGTATGAATGGCAGCAACAACCAACACTAACTACCAAAATCTGACAAAAATTTGTGAATCAGATCAGAACCAGGGTTTTTTCTAGAAAAAAACTGCAAGAGGGAGCACTGCAATTCAGCAGTGCTACCAAGTGGGGGAGATAGGGTTCTCCCTACAAGGGTGTGGAGTTTTTGATAATTCTAAGTTAAAATGGAGCATTCTATGGCTTCCTTGGGGCCAAAATTACAGACAGGTCACAGTTGAAGACTGTGGCCACATGTGATCTCTTCTATGGTTGCTAGATGATCTGCTCCCCAGGGTAATGAGGTGCATGGCCATGGCATGAGGGCGCTGCGCTCCTGTTCCTTTGTTTACAAAGATCCCTGAGAACATAATAATATTGACATCACCAAGGTGAAAATAAAAGCCATGCTTGAAGTGCGAATAAAACATGCTTTTCTAAAAATTGGAAAAATCGCAAGAATTACTTTCTTATTTCAAAAATGTTGACGTATTAAACGTCTTATGAAAAATTTTAAGAACAACTGGAATATTTTGCTCATAAATTGTCAGTTATGACATTGCTAAAAACAGATATAGAATATATACATGTACATTTGTAAACTCTTAATCATTTGATAGCATGTAAACTATGATTATGAATCAGCCTATAACCTTTTAACAGTAAAACACTGTGCTATAAATAACACATATAAGTGTGCAAATTCAAATAGGTTTATTTTCCTCATTTATTTCCCAATTTCTGAAACTCTGGAAATCTTATTATTCCCTTAAATAAATTTTTCCTTTAATTCTAAATTTTTTGTTCTGTACAATTCAGAATAGAATAAGCTTCCAATTTCAATTGAATTATAAAGATGACAGGTACAGTGATCAATTGAAGTTTTATAGTTACATGTATATATTTTGGATAAATTTGTTTATCTGGGTATTTGTCATTTATACCGAGGTAAGTGACTTTACAGTATTATTTTTAATCATATTGTCCATCAAGGTCATCTCATACTTCACTACATAAAAAAAAAATTGGTTTTAAAGAACTGTCAAAATAGTGGTATGATTTCCATGCTTTGTAATTTCAATGTCAAAGTTTGAAAACTTGTCAACAATTTGACTATTTTCCAACATTATGGACTACTGTAAAATGACTAATTTTCACTGGGTTTGAATTTCGCTAATTTACCATTTCAGGCATATTCAGTGTGTTATCAATTCACGGTTTTATCATTTAGATAATGTGTTCTATGCTAAATTTTACAAATTCACTGGGTTTTAATTTTTCAGTCAGCGAAATAAATGAAATAAAACCCAGTGAATAATTAACCCTTTTTACATTAGTGAATAATAAATTTCACTAGTTCAAGAACCAGTAGACTTTTAAAACAAATTTTAAGTCAAATAAATATTTTTATTTTGGTGTATAATAATATTAAATAGTATAATATTTGATTTAATAATATATTATTGTAGACGTGTGTAGCAATTTGAATACGACCAGCAACAAAAACAAGGCCTGTTATTATGATCGAATTATTATTATTATGATGGTGGTGTTCCCTGACCAGTCGACGGCTACTAGTATTTGCTGTCCACTGTCAGAAACAGGGGCATGTGGGTTTGTTTGTGTTTACATCCTAGCACAGACCATCTGTATACAGTAACAGTTCAGTATGTTATGTATCGAGTAAAGATATACAAGATATTTGTGTATCGAGTTATGATATTTAGAATATATAATATTCGTAAACATAGTATTCAAAAATTAGTTCACTTCATGGCCATTCCTATTTACTCATTATAAAGGCGGCCATACGAGAAATGTACACACCCAAGCCAGTCATTGACACCGTGAGAAGAAATGCGAGACACGGCACATTGTATGCAATCTGAGTTTACTTACCGACAGGCGGTGGATGCACCCCTCCCCCTGACATGTCTTGCATGTGATAGTCGCTATATCCTGCCATTTTCGCAATGTCCTCGTCACTAAACCCACCGAAACCAGCATAGGACACTGGACGATCAGCGGAATCACTCTCCGACCTTAGCAATCCTTTTGACGAGTTTGCGTCTGCGCCGACTCTGTTTGAACTTCGCTTCGGCATTCTTCGGAAATAATTAATTGGTGAGCCGAAAGTAAAAGTTTATCGCAGAAGGTTCCTGCCTTGTCGGCCGCGTGAATACTGAAGCAACGTTTTGGTGTATCATATGGTCTCTTCACAACTAAACTGTTGCCCCGTTCATGAAAGTTAATAATTAAACATATTGGTATCTATGTTTCAACACCAATGTCAAACAACAGAGTACACACTACGGCTTCAGTGCCATTCATACAATGTCGCGCTGAACACTGCCGTATTTGTTTGTATAAATTTGTCAAAATAGATGACATTTATGAAATATTATTCAATATTTCATGAAGATTTAACTAATCGTCTACTGACTCGATGTTGCCATAGTAACTCACTCAGGGTCATATTAGTAAACTATTCGATTCCATGGCAACATATATGTATACGGGTCAAATGTTTTGTTTATTGTATTATTATAAATATTAGTTCAGTTGAGATTAGTTTAGTTGGATAAATCATCTAGGAGCTTCCTTCAAAACAAGTGACAAAAGCAGCAGTAAAGAAAGGAACACTGATATTTGTAGCCATGTAGTCATCGTGAAGTTAGGGTGGCCACGGCGCCGGATAAATTACTACAATTTAAATACTACAACAATCCAACTTTGGTATTCGAATGAAACCAACATCACACAAAGACAGATTCCAATTTATGATCAATTATTTTCCCGTTATTCAAATTAGTTCATACTAATTCACAACATGAATATGGATAAAAAGTTGGTACGAAATTATACTCTTCCCAGACGGAACAGATGCTGTTATTGAGACCTTTTAGGTGTTTCGTTCTGTACATCGTATTCCGCGGAGTGTTCGGTGTATACCAATCCACATTGACAGTGAGGGCCTATGTATTTTTACTTGTTTATACAAGTTTTATATTATTTACGATTCAAGTGCATGAAAACCACACTTGACGAAACCTGCGCTACAATAAGTATTGAAGTGTTCATAATATGTGAAACAAAATCTAACTTTTCACGTGTGTTCCTTATTTGCGTTTTCATGTGTCGGTTTTGATAATTCGGCTACTTTTTAAGAGACCGAATTTGAATTTCTCTGTGAAGGGGTTTGGATAGTTGTTGTCGTGGTCGTTCACGTTACGAGTTCCGTACATACATCATTCCCAAGCCGCGACTGAATACTGCCGTTGGTGGCGTGCTTGAATCACTTACGAGTTCGGCGCACTCATTGCCCAGTCGATGCATTGATAAAGCACACGTGGGTCAATTTATTTACAAAATTCGATATGCGGCATTTTGTAATCAATTAAAACGTACGCGTTTTGTATTTGTCTTCTGCGTTTATAATGTCTACGCGTTTTACGACAACTATCGACTCGTTTTACAATAACAAATGAGGTACGTACTTTATAATAAACACTCGAGGACTATACTGTTTATGATTACGCCAGCAACACGATGTATACCGTTAATAATTCCTATTAAATATGTAATATGGAAAAAACATATATATTTTAGTATTGTTTTTTGATTCTCCATCCTGTAAACTAAATCGGTCGATGATTTATCATAAACGAAAGGTGTTGCATCTGCATGGCACACACCAGTATTCGTTGAATAGGAATTCAAAACAAATAATACGCATGTGCAAAAAATGCACAAAATAACCAGTCCACATGCTTATTAGATTATTTTATCCAATGAAAACTCCGTTGTGTGCTACAAGAACAACATTTTCAATATTTATGCAGACGTATCTCTACTTTCTAGGGGACTTATGCCGAATTCTTTTCTCCTCGATGGACTCACCGAAAACATGAGTATGTATGTGAGTTCAGGGAATCTTGATTCTGGTCATATTTTGCTCCAAATAATTCTGTTACTGTGACAGTCTGCAAACGTATCGTCCGTTTCAGGTTTTAAGTTGGCCAGGGATCCGGGGTCTTGGTTCGTTTAACTTAAATTTTACTCTGTATTGAAGGCGGTTCCGAGTGTCAAGGCTTTATTTTATTTACTAATTTAATCAAAATAAATAGTTTTTGTTTGTTTTTTATTTGAGGTTTGAGAAACATGTTGGCTCGAGCTATTCTTACGAGGTCTTGAAATCTTGGCTATTCAGTTGATGCATATGTGTTGGGACGAGATTCAGTTGTGTTGCGTTGTGCAGTATAGTAATCGGACAATGTTTCAACACATTTTCTTCATATTATTTCAGTTGTTTTGATTTTTAAAATTCTAGATTTTAAACAGCTGTAAGAACAACAACTGATTCTAATATGATAAAACCCCTCAGACAAGCACAAAGCGGTACACTGAGTACATGACACGGGAAGTGTAAAAGTTAACGTACTACCAAAGAGCTACACGACATGGCGTGTCTTTAACTCGGCCACTGTGAACGGTCCCCAAACACTACCTACACCGACCGATCCAAATCACAGCATAGTTTCCAAGATAGAAGTTATTAGGTCAACTGTGTTCATTGGTGAATCAAGCATACCCAACGCATATGAGTCGCGTCAAGTACAAAGCATCAACGGTTACCACGCCCTCTTGTGATAACTACTAATTGTCTTCATAACTTGTATCGGGCCATTGGAAAACATTTTACGATCCGAGAGAATCAGGCATGCGGGATTTGCTCACCAGGCGCGACCTTACTAGCATGCCCCCTTAAAAATGTTGAAATCTAGACCCTCTGAAACACTATTTCCTGCATTTTGAGAGGCAAATTTTGTTGACACAAAGGTTTCAGATCGATGATTTTGGAGGGGCGACAACTCCAACATTTTTTTCGAGGCCACCCCCTCACACACACACCCACCTTTGCCGCCGCCGCTGACGATTTATGGTTTCGGTCATGCATGGTTTACACAACAAGTATTCAGAAGACCCGATATTTTCTAGGACTAGAACTAGGACATATAAATTCAAATTTAATTCTTCAAGATGGGGTTTAACTCAACATTTGAGAATCCGAAGAGCATCTCTACTCATTCCAGAATACAGTCCAAAATCAAACTGAAACCTATTGTCAGCAAAATTCGCCCCTCAAAATGCAGGAAATAGCGTTTCAGAGGGTCGAGATTTCAACATTTTTAAGGGGTAGCATTCCCCCGAAGCCTCGCATGGTGTACACATCATCGCAAACCACGCCCTCTTTCGGCAACTGGGGCGGAAAAAATACTCTGGCGGGCGAGAATGGGTTAACACAACAAGTAGTAAGAAGACCTAGGACATGATTCAAATTTAATTCTTAAAGATGGGGTTTAACTCAACACTTGAAAATCCGAAGAACATCTCTACTCATTCAAAAATACAGTCTAGCTAATAAAGGTTTTACAGTATGAGATATCACGTTATGGAACCGGTACATTTCATAATACTAGTAGTCGCCATACAAACACATCTGGTATGTTGTTACATTGTATGTGTGTCTCGGTTTTCATAAGTGTTCATCTCTCAAGCAATTTTATTCGATAATCTGGACTCGTGCGACTTTCTACTTTTTTTTTTCAGGTTGACATTTTTCCTAAATACTAGTATGTGTTAAAAATACACATAATGTTATTTCAATGTAGCCAGGTCAGTTTGTGATAATAATTCTACCAATCCAAGTGTTGTCACTATAGTTACAGTTAGGTCAAATGTTATTTTGAATCCCTCTGCAAAACCTCATATAACAATAAAAAGATTGTTATTATTATCTGAGACAAATACAGCCGCACAAACATTTTCATGAGTAAGTTTTACAATCCGTTTTACTTGTATATTCTCTGAAAGTAAATATTATTATGCCAATAACTGTGATCGAAAATCACTAAAAAAAATCAATTTCCCAAGGTTTATAACATGTATTTAGACGAATTTCTTCAATCAAGGCTCAGGAAATCTAATTTATTTTCCATGTGAATAAGTATAGATATTTGTGGAACAAGAAACTTGTATTACTGCTGAATCTGCATGTAACAAAATAGATAAATTAGTTATATACTTTATGATACGAAGCGTGAAGAGGTATCCACATCAAGTGTTGTTTATTTTGTATTCAAATTTACTTATTTGATTTTTGATTTATGAATGTATTTAGTAAAATAAAGTGACACAAAAATTAATGGGGATGGGAAGAAATAACGAAATTACCTCACGCAGTTCTTATTTTAATCAACAGGAATTCAGTAGCCAGGAAATAACGACCGCCCTCCGGCGTCAATTGTGTACCGAACATAAATCCTCTCTTCTCCCGACATCCTTTGCGTACATATTTGGTGGTTCAAAGATGGCGGAGACAGCACCTATGGACCCGGAAAACGCCAAGATAGACAGGGAAAATTCTGTGAAAATCATATGTTTAGGAGATTCTGCTGTAGGAAAATCGAAGTAAGTATATACTTTTTGTATACAGGCGAAATTTGGTTGACGTATGGTATGTGGTTTAGTTATGGTCAGTGTGTTGTCGGCTAACGGTTTGTCTTTACCGGTGAGATCTGAATGAAAACAGACATGTACTTTGGGAATGCTGTGAACGTTGCCACTGTACTTCCGTTCATGCAATGTCTTCACAAAACAATGCAAATGGCTATTTAGCCGGATATTTGTGATCTCATGTCCGGGATGTCTTATAGAGACTACAATTGCCGCAGATATGAAGAGTTTCGCAATTTTGTTCTTCATGTTCACGCTCTGTTGTTCATGACAACGACGACGCTCCGTTTAGCGAGCTGCGTCATGGAATCAACACAGTAATACATTTATTTTTATGTTACGCCAGTGCCTTGAAATGACATTTTCCTCTGTTATCCTGTTCACTGTATTGTCTTTTACACGAGTCAATCAGTGAACATGCCATCACTAACAGGGTATTGATTGATTCGTGGTGTTTTGTCAAAAACAACAACAATCGTAATCGGCTTACCTGTTGTGTTTTGTTACGTGGTGTAACAGTCACCACATTACATTGTAGCTGACGTTGATATAAACTTGTGTAGTCAAGTAAATTACTTGATATAATAATTTCCTTATTTGTTGTAAACATGGCATGGCATAAATGTGGCATTGTACATTTTGTAATATGTTTGAATAATGAGAGTACTGGTACATGTTTTTAATCAATGCCTTAAACTAAATATGAAATATGAAGTGAACTATGAAATTGATATTTTCAGTGATATTTTACTTTTCTGTAATAAATATTTGTTAAATTGTAGAACAAATTGTTGTTGTTAGTTTACTAGCTGGGCAAGTTTTAAGCATAATTTTCATAAAAATTGACAAGGTACATACTTATATATATGTATAAATATATACATAATGTATATATTTCAAATAGCCATGCAAGTCTTTAAAATGACTGTCTTAGGTTTATCTAATTCACCACGTAGTGAAGATATGCTGTTTCAAGGCAGACAATATGATATTTCCTTTATGCGAATAAACACTGTTGTAATTTTTTGTTTTATTTACTTCAATGGTGACTTCTACAAAGGAAATCTGACATGAGAATTAGTCAATTTGCATGTCTGTTTTCATATCTGTAGATCATGATATGTTCTAACAATAACCTGAGTACTGCACATTTGGGAATATAAAAATAAAATTTACTTACCTATTCTGTGTTTTTTATTTACCATTTTATCGAACACAGCAAATTTCTTTTATTTGGCCTAATAAACTTTTATGTTTTCTATATTATTATCTTTATATCTGAACATTTCTATTATTTATAGCGCAATTAACTAGATTTTGTCAGTAGTCGGCTCTGGGAAAGTAAATGGCACAACTCAAAGTAATCAGATAATCACCCTTGGGCGAACAGATTTGTTAACGTTATCTACTGAAGAGTGTGTTGAATTAGTTTCAGACAATTGCTTGTCTCAATTAAATTATTTTGAAAAGCTACAAGCCTGCACTAAATAGAGTAAAACAAACATTCTGTTCAGACAATTTTGGAAGTATGAATGTTCGGTTCTCTTAAAATAGATAATAATAATAGGTTTATTTTGGAAGCTACATGATGTATACCGGTACTCGGTAATATCATATATGCTATTTTAGTAGCATATGTGCTTACGTAAATTACAGAAATGTTTTTATTGTAAAAATAATTTATGTCTAAATGATTCAAATTTTTTATTTGTATGGGTTTCTATTGCAGATTTTCTTGTAATAGATCAATCACAGTACTCTGAATAATGTGTTGGAAATCCCACACTCATTGTATGTGAATTGTTTTTCTGACATATACATGATACTGTAGAATACTTTATTTTCGCTTGGAATTTATTTTCGCCATTTTCACTGAAGGAATGAATCAAGTGAAAATAAAATCCAAGCGAATATACTTTTTTTCCTATATTTCACATTAAACTCATTAAAAATCAGTGAAAATAAATTCCATACAAAACCCCCTAAAATACCTTTTCAGCGAAAATTAATTCCAGCGAAAATAAAGTATTCCACAGTATTGTGACTGAGATAGGAAATGTTTGTCTGGGTGAAATAGTGTGTCTGCTGCAGGGCTCAAAACTCGTGATGAAAATTGCTTGGTTGAAACCTTTCATAATTTCAATTTTCTCTGCTGCTGTGATCTCTTCATATTGATATTTTGATTTTTTTAGAGCCTGGCCTGTTTTTACATGCTATAGAGTAAATTACAATGCCTGTGTCACAATTGCACGTCTTTTCATACATCACAGTGGTTCAAGTTTAACCCAGCATTGTTACTCAATTCAAATGATTCAAAGCTGATGGACTGAAATTATTAAGTCATTGGCAGCTTTCCTATTTTATTTTACACAGTTTTGGAAATGTGCTTCTAACAGTAAATATAGCATTGTCATTCATTGTATTCAACATGTATTTTCCGGCAATATGAGAGGTAAAGAACATTGGAATATTTTTATGTTTTATGCATCATTTTTTTTTAAATGATTTATCTACATGTTTGGTGCCTTGGGTGTACATGTAGTGTAGCCTTTTCATTTCAAACTAACCTATATCACTGTCGGGTAGTCCGTGTTTTTTGATAAGGATTGCACACTACAGGAACTCTGGATTTTACCTGTATTTTTTGTACAAGTAAGAACATCATATTCTTATAATCTGCTGTGAATTCCTAATATTACTATATAATTTGCATACTCTTTTTGTTACAATAGATAAAAATTACGTAGTGTGAAATCATTTATTTTTAATTTCACAAATTTGACAAAGAAACAATGAGTTTTATTGTTATTTTACATGTTTTTATATAATAGATGGATTTAATTCCAGAAAAAATTGCAAAATTTAAAATAAGTGAATAGTTAATGCACTTACAGTATCAATATTTAACCTTTTCACCACCAGTCTTTCTCAACCAAATTTTTCTGCACTTTTTTTCTTATATTTTTCAATATTTCTGGAAATGAACCTGAAATGAGCCAACAAACACAATTTGAGTCAATTTGAAACAGTTTCACTCAAAAAAAAAGGGCTATTTTTGTTTAATCTTCTGAAGGAAAATGCACACTATCAACAGGACTATATTGTAAACTGGTGGTAAAAAGGTTTATGTGTCTTGTAAATTATGGCATGGTTTTCAGTGGACAACCCTGGTACAACATTAATCTGAGGAAATATGAATTTAAATTGTGTGTATGTGAAAGTTACAAATACATCTTATGTTACATGTAACTGATCTGTTAATAGTTTCTAGGAAAGTCAGTTACCGGTACTCTTTATTAGATACTAGTTTCTTTTAAGAAATGACAATAATACCCTGTTAGAAATGATCTAGGTACAGAAGTCATGATATTTGAAATTTGGTTTATTAATGAGGACTGCGGATCTGCGGAGGTTAGGATTATTTTCTCATTACAATTGGCGAGCACATGTAAAGTTGATTTTCCACATGGATCAACTCTCATCTCTGTTTCTTAGAGGGTAAAACCTGTAAATTACGTTACCAAGGTATTGATGCCAAAGTCTGAAATATATTGTCCTCCCCGTAAATGTACATAATGTACATTGTAGTTCTAGTACTCAACATGTACATTTCATGGGACTCACAGTTTTTAATTATCAATAGTCAATGTGTTTGCTATATAGTGTAATCAAAGAAACAAGAAAACACGGGGAAAGATGAATCAAGTATTTGATATATGGTAATGTTTCTCAAACATTCACCATGTGAGATTGCTTTCACATATTCCAAAACAAGTTTCATCACTTACAAAATTAAAAAAAAACATTAATTCGGTTTTCAGTGAATAAATTTCAAAACACAAATATCCTTGCACAGCACTTGTTGAGCAGGAAGGAAACGATAATAAGATATCTTTTAAAAAAAAACCAGTCTTGTCTAATCTTGTCTGCTGTGAACATATTTGATAAAGCATGTTTTAACAACAGGTTACATATAACTACTGATTGCTTGTGATATACATGGTTGGCAGGGCACTCCAAACAATCACTATACAAATGTAGAGTAGGGCCTTCTACTCTGGAATTTTCGATAAACAATGGACCTCATTTGGCATGATGTTGAATACAATAAAAGTAATTAACGTGTTGTATTGTCATGTAAATTAGTCATGGGAATGTATTCGATTGGGTATTTTTTAATATTGAACGCATCATGACACTAACATAATAGAGCAATTATGACGCACCAAGAGACGTCACACGGAACATCGTTCTGTCATGTTAATGTTTGACACAGTTTCCCGTCCTCTAATGTATGTGGTACAATGTAGCATAATGATCATTTGTCTGTGCTCTTGTTCAGTTTTAAAGCCAGGAAAAAATATTTTTTTATCATCTAATATTAAGCAGTAATTAAACCAAGCTGCATTCTTCAGTTTTTTTTTATTAAATCATATACATGTTTAAAATTTATTATTATGATCCTGACCAGTGTTTTTCCAGGTAAATCTCCAAGCATGTCAAGTAATTTAATAACACTATTCATTTTGTTACATTCATATTTTGTAATAATTACTAATAACATATTAATACCTTTTATTATATTTTGGAAGTTCAAAACCTGGCATTTCAGTCACAACGCATGGTGAAACTGTTCACACTTAACTAAAAGGCCTAGGGAATGTATACTGCTTGCCTATGCATGTAAAATACGACAGAATTCAATGTGTTATAGCATTTGGGTAAATAATCGTTATCTGTCATGTTTAATTGGTTCTGTATTTGCGTAGTGTTGGGAATAAATCGAATAAATATGCATATTTTAAAAGTTAACTGAATTAAGAAGTAAAACTAAAAATTTAATAATGCGAGTGAACTGAAGCATTAATATGACCGTATCATTCCTGTATAAATAAAAAATGTTTCAGTACTTGTACATGTATATGTTCATGTAACCATGACAACAACTCACTTAT